CACTCTCCATCCAAACCTCTCGTGCAGTCCAATTACCTGGAATTAACCAGGTGGCACCAGATGGGAAAGGGACACTGGCAGGGAGGGGCCCATGGAGCGGCCTGGGGATGGTGCCCAAGAGCCACAGCCCTGTCCACAGCCACAGGTCGCCTCGAGGAGTGGCTGGGGCTTCACAGCACCATGGGACCTTTGCTTAGGAATGGCTCCTTTGAGGCTGGAGGGAAATCCCTCCTCTCCTCCCTAGGATCGTGGAGAGCACTGGGTCCCCCACCCCACCCCCGCAGGCTCCCACTGAGACACTCACTTCAGGACAAAGACAGGAGACCCCATCTTTACCCAAAGCGGCTGTGCCTTTTGTCTGCAGCCCATGAGAACTTCTGAGTTCCCCAGACACACACAAAGTCCAAAGAGCAGGTCCTCTACAGCCAGCAATGAGACGAGAAGTGCTTCTTTTTGGTTCCAGAATGCTCTCCTGTGCTCAGATTTGGATCAGGGTGCGTCTGACATTCTGAGAATTCACTTCAAACAGGAAAAGCCGTTCCATCTGCTGGGGGTTGGGCGGGGGTGGGGGCATCCAGTCTTGCCCTGCCCCCTGCCCTGACTGCCTTGTAGCCCGGCCTCTCTCAGATGGGGCTGGGGCTTCCCAGACTGCCGCAAAAGACCAAGCGTGAGGAACCCCAGGCACCCCAAATTAACTTTCGACAGCAGAGTTTCAGGGTGACAACAAGCAGGAGGCCCTGTGATGGGGGAGCCCCAGGGCCAGTCCCAGCAGCCACTCCCCTCTCAAGGCCTGGCAGCCCTCCCCCACCCCCCAGCTGCTGCTTCTGCATCGCACAAGGGACAGAAACCCCACCCTCCAGGAGACAGCCACTCCGGCAAGGCAGGCATCACTGCCGGCGTGCAACCATGGTCTGTGCCATGGACACCAAGATGGGATTCAGCCTCTGGCTCCACGGGGACTCGTGGGTATGTTTTGGATAGAAAATAATCAAAATATCAAAGACAATCCAAAAGAACTGAAGCCCGGGTATCTAAACAAACATGAATGTTCACCATAGCGCGATTCACAATCGCCAAAGGGTGGAAGCAACCCCGTGTCCATCAGCCAATGATTTGAAACCCCAAATGAGGCCCATCCCTACGGCAGAATGCTATCCCATCAAGAGGAGGCATGAAGCCCTGATGCGCCACAGCCCGGAGAAGGAAGCAGGTCCCAAGAGGCATGTGATGCCCTTTTTACGAAATATCCCTATCAGGCCCATCCAGAAAGCTGAGTGACGGATCCAGGGCGGTGGCACAGGGGAGGGGTATGGATGCCTATTAGGGACGGGGTTTACCTTCGTGTTGGAGAATGTTCTGGAAACAGACAGAGGCGGTGGGCACACAACACTGAGAATGTGCCAAATGCTACTGAACTATACACATTAAATAGGTTAGATTCACAACATGGTGTGGGGCGCCTGGGTGGCTCAGCGGTTGAGCGTCTGCCTTCAGCTCAGGGTGTGATCCCAGAGTCCCAGGATCAAGTCCCACATGGGGCTCCCCTCAGGGAGCCTTCTTCTTCCTCTGCCTATGTTTCTGCCTCTGTGTCTCTCATGAATAAATAAAATCTTTAAAAAAAAAACACACAAAAAAAGACTTATGTCATGGGATTTTTGCTTCCATTTAGTGAAAAGATAGCAGAGAGAGGACAGCGGCCTAGGGTAGGGGAATGAAAGACAGGGGAGCAGCCCAGCAAGGACCCAGAGCCCCCCACCCCACCCCTCTCCACAGCGCCAGGACCCTTGCAAAGCTGCCTGCATACACTGCCGCCGCACAGGACACAGCTGACTGGCCGGCAGCTCTGGAGGTGAACAGTCTGAAAACAGCCTTAGGGGCTCAAATCAAGGTGTCAGCAGGCGGGGTCCCTTCTGGAGGCTCCAAGAGAGAATCTGTTGCCTTTCCTGGCTCTTAAGATGCCAGCATTCCTCGGCTTGTGGCCGCATCACTCCAACTTCTGCTCCACCATCACATCTCCATGCTCTGCTCTGACCCTCCTACCTCCCTCTTTTACTTACAAGAAAAATGACCTCTGGTTACTTGTAATTACCCTAGCTACACCTGCAGAGAATCCCTTCCCTGTCACACAAGATCCAGGAGCCAGGAAGGGACTGTGGCTTTCAGGGGCCCCCTCTCTGCCCTCCACCCAAGCCAGCGCCATGGGCATCCATGGAACGTCAAGTGCTGCACAGGTGTATAGGGGAAACTTCCCAACTTACAGAAGAAGAGACAGAGGCCCCAAGAGCACCCTTGCTAAGGCTGATGGGTGAGTAGGTGGCTGACAGAGGAGACCTTCGAGGGCTGAGGGCCCGTTGGCCTCACCTGCAGCTTCAATGCCTGGGAGAGTTCTGCCTTTTGCTCTCTCATCTGTCACCAAATGGGACATCCCTCCCTCTGGAGGGCCAGCTCTAGCTGTGAGGAGGACCTGCACACCCCCCCCGACAACCGGCGGAGCCGGATGACTTACCAGGGACCCCCCACCCCCAACCCAGCCTCACTTCTGATCCTCCAGCTGGCACCAGGATGGGGCCCCCAGATTAAGTCTCCTATTCATCAGTCTCTGAGAAGTATAATTAGGGCTTTTATGGAAAATCAGCTCATTATGCAAAGTGCAAGGGCTATAAAAATGATCATTTTTCTAAAGGAGCGTGCTGGGCTCCTATCCAGCCTGGCAAGAAACTGGGAAGACTCTCTTTGGGCTGCAGACTCAGTTGACTGGTTTTTCAAAAAAGGAAAGGGCTTGGCCACACCAAAACCTTTGGTAATTAGGGACACTGCGAAACCTTCTTAAACGAGGAGCGAGTTAGTGTCGTAAAGGGCTGGTGGTTAGTGCCCAGTCACCAGTGGAAATCACAGCCTGTTTGGGGGGACGCAGGGCAGCCCCATCATGTTGCCGTTTCCTGAGCTCGTGGGTGGTGGTGGTTGGGGTGGGGACGCTCCTGTCCCCAGGGGCTATGGAGGGAAAGGACTCCAGAAGAGCCCTGGATCGGGGCTCAGATGAGGAAGGGAAAGCCCAGGGCAGGAGAGGCCCAGAGGACAACCCGCCGTGAGGGCGAGGAGGCCATGCAGGTGGGAGACAGGAGAGCTCCCCTGACCTCCTGGGGCTGCAGACACCTGCTAACACCTCCTTCCTCTCATTTCCTCCTCACCACCCCCAACCCAGCTGCACAGCAGGATGACGTCAGCCTCCTCCGGGCTGAGGGGCCTGGAGCCACAGCAGGACTGCCCCGTCCAGGGCAAAGCCAGAGGGGCTCATCAGCCCCAAGAACAGAACCGGGTTCCCGGGACCCAGGCCCTGCTTCAAGGAGACATGGATACAGAGAAGAGATCACGCTCCAGCCTCTTATGAACGAGCACATAACAGCATCAACCTTCGTCTCACGCCCTTCATTTCGGCCCACTTGTGTGCACACACATGTGTATAGAGAGGCCACACTGAACAGGCTGGGAAGTGTACCCAGAGCACGGTATGGGCAGGGGCAAGCCCGAGAACACACAGGTTTCTGCAGAAAACCAAAACCAAAACTATGTGCTGTCTCTATATTCAGAAATAACACACTCCTTCTTGATTAAGTTTTTAAACTGTCCCTATTACAGGCCTCACAGAAGCTACACTGCAAATCAGCATGTGCAACTGGGTGGCTGGGGGGAGGGGGGCGGCTCCAAGGTGCAAGCGACGTCCTAGGGTGCAAGCGGCCTGGTGGGTGCAGGAGCTTTGTCTCTGTAGCTTCTACACCCCCAACAACCTGTCCTGACCCTGATGTAAGAAACAACAAAAGCAAAAGTCCCCAATTCAACAGAATCTCTAAGTCATCTGAGAATGTAACAGCAAAACGCATCCTGGGGGTGGGGGCAGTGGTCCCTAACCTTCCCATCTGTCCCAGTGACTCTCTGACCCCCGGCGAACAGCCCCATGAAGGGGCAGCCGTGCTGGCCTGGAGGCACCTGGCACCGTGGTCCTGGGACCCCAGCCTTTGGGCACACAGTGTCCTCCAGAGACAACACCGGGGAGGGGGGCACCATAGCAGACCACCCTCACCATGTCACTTGCACCCGGGCATGACCCCACACACTCCACCCTAGGGCTGGGCTACTTCTGTCTTCCCAAACCCCTCATCCCTACCCTGCCGGCCCATGGCCTCCAGAGACACCGAGGCAGGGCAGGTCCTCTGCTCATCCCCACTCCATCTGGAACCTGATCCCCGTTGAGACGTCTCCCTGACCCCTCAGCTGTGGGTCAGAATCGGCAACCACACGTTCTCATTGGGGCTGCCCTCCCCCACCCCCACTGCCTGCGTGTCAGAGACCAGAGGCCAGACCACAGGAGTCACGGGGTTCTCTGAGGCTGAGCTTTGAAAGCCAAAGGGCATTAAAACTGGGGGTGATACGTCCTGCCGAGGGACCCGGGGGCCCCCAGACCAAGCAGGCCAGCTCCCCAGTTATGGTGCGCAGGGAGTGCGCTTCGGTAGCCAATGGTCTATGAAAGGATTAATTTGCTCATCTTATAAATTTTTTTTTTTTTTTTACGATAGTCATACAGAGAGAGAGAGAGAGAGGCAGAGACACAGGCAGAGGGAGAAGCAGGCTCCATGCACCGGGAGCCTGACGTGGGATTCGATCCCGGGTCTCCAGGATCGCGCCCTGGGCCAAAGGCAGGCGTCAAACCGCTGCGCCACCCAGGGATCCCTAATTTGCTCATCTTATTACCGAAATCGAAAGATATTTTGCACCCATCCATAGAACACGTGTGCTCAATCTCCCTGGTGGGAACTGGAGGCCCTCCCCTGCCCGCCCCTCCCCACTGCTGCCAAGAGGCAACTCGACACCACATGGAAATTCATGCATCAGATGCAGGCAGAGCATATCTGCTGCAGACTCGGGTGGCTGAGGCCAGGCATGCAGGTGGCATGCGGTGGCGGGGAGGACGAAGGGCCATCACTTGGCTGCGCCGGCAAGCTCACCTGATCCCTTTGTTCTGTGCCACGTGGTGCAGGGAGAGTCTGGACACGGCAGAGATGACCTAGGGAGACCAGAAAGACGCTTCTGTAATTCCACAAGAAACCAGAAAGTCATCACAAAACCGTAATGAAGGGCTGTGTGCACACAGAGCTGTTCATCTTGGGAAAAACACATACACACGCACAGCGTAGCATTTTGAGGGAGGCCAGGTACCTATTTTGAGTGTATCGTGCACAATTTGTCATTCCCATGCACCAGCGTGAGCTGAGGGCTGCTAGGCTCCTGTGGGAGAGGAGCGGGGCTGGGCTCGCCCCCTCCCACCACCCCCGCCCCCCCGCACCAGCCACGAACCACTCACTGGGCCTCATTCTCACTCACCCTGCGGTCAGCCCTGCCGGGGCCGCGGGAATCCTAATGGGCAACACGCTTCCAATGTGCTCACCCTGTGCTGCTGTTCGGTTAATGGCACATCCACAGCAAGTGCTGACCCAGTTCAGAGAGGCCCAGAGAAGTTAAGTGACTAGCCCCAAGTTACACAGCAGCCCGGGGCGCAGCGCTGACACAAACATCCAAGCGTGGTACTCCTTCCTCTGAGCCCCTCCTCTCTTCACATGACTGCTGAAACTGACACCCAGCTCCCGCAAAGGGTCAGGCCAGGTTCAGACTGTGTGAGGGAATCCAAGCAGTATCTCCCCAGACCCACCAACCTGTCCAGATGAGCAGAGGCCACTCCTTCTCTGGCTGCCCCTGACCCTGCTTCGTCCTGTCCCATCAGGGCCCACCCATCTCCCAGCCTCAAAAGCCCCAATGCAGGGACTCCGCAGATCCTTCCAACAGACAGTGGACAAGGATGAGGTTCCACAGATGTTATGGGTAAACTGAGGCAGGGAAAGGGAGGCAGTTGCCCCAGAACACAGAGTAAAATCCACATGAAGTGTTCACAATTCATCACAGGATTTACGGGGCCCCTGCCATGCCAGACATCACACTCAGGGAACAGGTGTGATCCTACAAGACGTCCTTGTATAAGTGTGCATGAGTCCATCTGTGTGTGTGTGCGTGGAATTGCATGTGTGCCAGACTGTGTGCACTGCATGCTGCATGTATAGTCTGTGTACACACGTGCTTGTGTCTTTATATACATAGTCACTGTGTGTGTGCATGTGTAATCTGTGCGTGTGCACATGTGTATGTGTGTGTAGTCTATGTGTGCTTGTGTGTAGTCTATACATGCATGTGTGCTTGTGTGTGTGCATTTGTATAGTCTGTGTGCTTGTATGTGGCATGCATGTGTCCTTGTGTATGTGCACGTGTACATAAATGAGAATCCATGAGAGATGAAGTATGTGCATTGCATGTTGTGATCTGTATATGAATGTGTGTATATAGTATGTATATATGCATGTAGTCTATGTGTGCTTGTGTTAAGTCTGTACATGCATGTGCTCTTGTGTGTGCACGTGTGTACAGTCTGTCTATAATATATGTGTGACTGTATGTGTATTGTGTGCTTGTGCGTGTGCATGTGTATAAGAGTGTACGTAAGCAGTGTGCATTGCATGCTGTGTGTGTAGTAGTATGCTTGTGTGTTTAAACTGTGTGTGCATGTGTGCACATGTGTGTAGCCTATGTGTGCTTGTGTGTGTGTAATCTGTGTGCACATGTGTCACCTATGTGTGCCTGGGGACAGGGAACATGGCCCATGAGGACCACCTGCTAAATTCACAGACACTGAGGCAGGATCTCTTGCCTAAAGCCCCCAGCTGAGACACGTTCCACAGACTTCCCTTTAGGCTATCCTTCTAGCCACAATTTTTTTAAAGGGAGGGAAACCCCAAGGCATACAGAAGGCCCCTTTCTCAGACAGCAACAGACTGCCTTGGCCAACACGAACAGAGTGCTGTGAGGGGCCTTCCGGCAGGTGGTCACAACTCAGGGGCCGGGCCCTGGCAGGTAGGAATCTGCGGAATGGGGGGGGTCCTCTGTGCCGCCCCAGGTGGGACTCCACTGGCTCACACACAGCCTGCCCACCAAGGCCCATACTTGTGTGCTCCAAGGGGCCTTTCACAAGCCATGAGCAATTAAGCTTCGGCTGCTATTCTTGGCTGTTGAGAGCTCTAAACTTTTAGGGATGATGACAATCACAGCAACATTGCTGCATGTGATAGAAGCTAGAAATGTCAGGGCTTGGAGGGTTTGGGCACATAAGCCGCCCCCCACCCTCCACGGCAGACAGTGTTCAGCACCTGCCCAACTCCTCCCCAGCCGGCCAGACACAGGCTAGACACTTGCCGGCAGAGCCCACCCACAGCACCAGCCAGCAGTCAGCACGGGCCCGGGACACCCAGCCTGTTTCCTGACCCAGAATTAGGGCGAAGGCTGTGCTTCCTGCAGATGGAGCCCCCAGCAGAGAGTAGCCGCCGCAGGGGAGCGAGCCAGAGCCAGTGCCCAGGTCCCCATGTGTCCACAAGCCTGTGGCCCCGGCAGACACGGTGGCTTCTCTGGCAGCCCTGTGCTCGGCAGCCTCAGCCCCGAGCTTGCAGACACTCTACTCTGGGCTGGAATGTGTCATCAATGGTCGTGAGAGACTCAGCTCCAGGTTCCTGTGAAGCCAGGGGCAGCTCCTTAGATGGGGTTAAGTGTGCCCCTCTGTCGCTCGGTCCACCTGGGCTGCAGGCTCCCTGACTGGCATCTGTACAGGAAGGGGAGTGCGAACCCCACCCTACAGTGACCGAGGGCAGGGGCTGCTGGGAGCAGGTGTGGGGCCCCCAGAGACAGTCACAGGGTCACACGAGGGGTGGCAGCTGCCCCATGTAGAAAGACAGGGTGCAGGGCGCATCTCCCTGCAGGGAAGGGAAGCCCCAGCATGGCTCCTACAGCACCTCTGGCCAGGCAGCCCCATCCCAGGACGGAGCAGCTGGGCCCTGATCAGATACCTCCCAGCCCACGGCCCCTTGAGCTCTTCTGAAAACGTAAATGTCAAAGGATGACATTTTCCCAACTTTTCTCTGCACTTCTCGTTTGCATCCCAGTTAATGAACGGAAGGAGCACACACGTACCATCTACCCTCCTCCCCACATACAGCTGGCTCAAGGCTCTGGGATCAGCAATCCACTGAGCACTTCTCCGGGTCAAGGACTGTGTGCATGGGGCAGGGCAGAGGGGGCGACAGCAGAAAGACGTGTCCCAGAGGCCAGGTCCACGGGGAGGAGCCCCAGGCACCCCCAGTGAAGGACGTAGATGTGACACTTGGAGGACAGGAGGTGGAGGTGTGCGGTGTGCACCCTGGGTGGACGTCTCAGCTCCGCCCCCACCCAGCCACGGCCTGCTCTGACCCCACACTCTCTACCAGATCTACGTTCAGGTGCACAGACCCCCAGACACCAGCGGCCAGTCAGCTTCCTTGCGCTCACTGGCGAAGTCTCACAATGCAAACCTCCAGGCCCACCCCCCAGATGCCCTGGAGTGGATGAGCCCAGGTTGGGCACCCCAGTGCCCCAGATTGGGTCAGACAGGCAGCATCACACTCTCGGTCAAGGCATGCAGGAGGACAAGGAGAGGGACCTGAGGGTCTACCTCGGGATGGCCTACAAAGCACAGAGCCGCTGAAGGGTGAAGTGGGAGGAATGGACGGTCAGGCAGGGTGGGCAGGAGGGACTTCTGGGGAAAGGATGTGTGCTCTGGACCCCAGGAAGCTGAAGGGGGATCCAGGGCAGAGCAGTATCCAGGGTGGACCTCACCATGCCTAGAGTTCTAGAATGCGACTGCCAGGACCTCTGCCACTGGGCGCCCACTGTCTCCCCTGACAAGCAACAGGTTCACCAAACTTGTCCAGCTAGACCCCGAGGGTCCCCGAACCAGGGCAGCACCCCATGCCCACCTCTAAGCCTCGGCTTAGAATCTCACCCAGTCATGGCGAGGTAGGCAGGCAGCCTGCAGGACAGGTCCCTGAGGGGCAGAATGACCTGGCAGGGCCACCAGTAAATCCTTCAAAGAAGGGTGGTGGGAACCATCCCACACTCCTGGCTGGAAGGAGCAAGCCCTTGCTGCCCTGGTGGCACAAGGAAGACCCCGAGTTTCTGCTCTTGGATACGGGGAACACTTGAGCTCCAGAGGTGTTCTGGCAGCGATTTACAAATGCTTTTAAAAAATCCAGCAGCAGCCTGGTTGCCCAACACCAGAGTCCCAGAGAAATAAAGTCAGGCACACCCACACGGGGGATTCTGAGCTGTCTTGTAAACTGATGTTGTAGAAGGGGTTTTGTTGACATGAAATATATTCATATATCCCTTCAGTGAAACAAACAGGTTGTGAAACATGTACAATCACTAAAGTCTAATTTTTAAAATTATATACTGCGGAAGAGGGCTGGGCATAAATGCACAGAGCAGAGGCAGTGACTGGGTGGCTTTGTGCGGTTGGCCTCCTGCTTTGCCTTGGCTGTAGTTTTACAGTTTCCTACAATGTACAGTGGGGGGCCAATGTTATAAAAAAAAAAAAACTCTGCTGGTGTTCACTCCTGCCCCCACCGCCCAGGTGCAGGAACTCCCTGAATTCTCCTGTCAGTAAAACATGCTATTCAAAACAAAGCCTCTGGCTCTGGGCCCTGTGGTGGAAACACTGGACAGGTTTAGTCCCAATACACCAGGGCCATCACAAACCAGTCATAAGTCACCACTCTCCCTCCCTTACCCAGAGCACACAGTGGCAGGCCCCCCCATTCAAGCCACAGCCAGCAGGCGACCAATCAGGACCCTCACTCTTGTGACACTGAGGAGTGCTCAACACGGCACACAGGGATCTCCTTGAAATGTACCCGCATGTGAAGCTGCGCCTTTGAACTTTGTATTCCAAGTACCTGGCACACAGATGTCACCTGGCAAATGTTGACGTGGCTAGATGATGGATGGATGGCTGGATTCATGGGGACGTGCTAGGATGGATGAATGGTTGGATGGATGGATGGATGGATGGATGGATGGATGGATGACAGATGGGAGGAAGGGAAGATGGAGGGATGGGAAGAGGAAGGGAAGATGGATGGGAGGATGGATGGACGG